TATATATATATATATCTATATATATCTATATCTATATATATCTATATATATATAGAATTGTGATTGTATCTATTTTTCTCCTTTTGTCGTTATCTCATCACATGGGAGAAGTGTTATTGGAAAAAACATCAGTTCTTTAATTAAGGCTAACAAATTAACTTTTGAATTACAGTGGTGTAACAGTAGAGAGGTAGAAATGATACAGCAGTGTTGTAATATCTGCTGCTTTGAACAAGTTGGGAGATCTATTTAAAATGTTGAGTGCACTCATGCAGACACTCTGTTTCTCAGGAATGTCATATTGCTATTGAGATGAGCTGCAAAACACAATCTGAACATTGTACATGTCATGTTTTCTGTATCTACCTTAAACCACATTCCAACATTCAAGAACATTTCTAGAAATTGTGCTAGACGTTTTATTCTAGTACCCAACTTTTATATTATATGATGATTACTAGTTAAAATCAGCATTGCCAGAATCCTTGCAAGGTGTAGCTGTGAATACTACAATCTCAGAGATCATAAAGTCATTAACATTAACATCAAGAATATTGCCGGTTTACTATTGAAAATAATTATTTTTTACACTTCTTGTTTTTACTTGTATGATAGGACTATTTTTATTTTTATTTTGTAGCTAAGTTCAAAGACATCTGTCCGGGTGGAATGGGCTACACTGTTCTACCAAATCCGCCTGTCAATAAGCCAGTCATCACTTACCAGGAGCCCAATGACCCACTACCCCCCCCAACCCTTGCCAACACCAGAGAGACCAGTGGAGGCCTTTGGGAAACCAGAAGAGATTATACCAGGTGAGTTTCTACCATTTAATATTACCAGTGCATGTTCAGTTGATTTACTTTAAGTTGATATGTGTGGCACACATATCAAAACTAGATTAGCACAAGCCGCTTGTGTGTTTGTTGTTGTTGAATGTTTGTAATACAGATTAATGAAATCAAATGCCAAATAATAACTTTGGTGCAGCTTCAAAATTATAGCATCCAAGTGTTCTCCATTTCTGAGACACTTGTTCTATAGTCAGGGTTGCGATGGCAACAAAGTGAGACAAGCAGCCCAAACATCTTTTCACACAGCAACTTCTTCCAGCTTTTCCTGGGTAACCCCAATAATTTCCTGTCCAGCAGGGAAATGTAGTCCCTTCATTGTGGACCAAGATCACTCCATGACCAAAGCATTTATAAAGGAAGGTGCCCAGGATGCAGACCAGTTGACCGCAACACATCTAGCTATCCCTGGCAATGAAATGGATCTGTGGCTCAAAACCACCGCCATCCCCAAATATTAAACTCCTCCCTCATTATCACATTTGTCAACACGAGACATATTCTTTCTAATTATTTAAGGTAGGCCTTTATATTATTTGAAGGACCACAATGCAAAAGATGTGTCCTTTGGTCTTCAGTCTAGACTTTTTGGTAATATCATTAGAACCTTTTCGGTTTATCTATCTCACTGTGTTTGGAATGTTAAAACTTAAATATCTTTTGAGGCCAAATCATTATAAAGTTTCACCATCAATGCTGCAAGTTGTAAGATGCTAATTATGTAGAAAGACTGGGTATAATATTCTCTTTCCTGTTTTAATAAGCAACAGAGCAGCAGCATGTTATTCTAGCTGTAGATGAAATAAGGGTTTTGGTTTACTTTAAATTGCAATAATCTATATTTAAGGAAATTAGTGCAAAAACAATCCAGAGCTGCATCCATTAGCTTCTGCTCATCCGGGTCGTGGTCCAAACGGCCTTCTCCCCAGTAACTCCCCAGCAACCAGTTGGATTTGTCAGCAAAACCTCTGAAGGCAGACGTCCAGGGGGCATCCTGATCAGATGCCCGAACCACCTCAGCTGGCCCTTTTGACACGAAGGAGCAGCGGCTCTACTCCAAACTCCCTTTGTCTGAGCTCCTCACCTTATCTCTTAGGCTGAGTCCAGCCACCCTATGAAGGAAGCTCAGTTTGACCGCTTGTATCTGCGATCTCAGTCTTTTGGTCACTACCCAAAGGTCATGACCATAGGTGAGGGTCAGAACGTAGATGGATTGGTAAAACGAGAGCTTTGCTTTGCGGCTCAGCTGTCTCTTCACAACGCCGCACCGGATCGCCTGTCTATGTCACACTCCATTTTACCCTCACTCGTGAACAAGACCCCAAGATACGTAAACTCCCTTGCTTGGGGCAGTGTCTCACTCCCAACCCAAAGGGTGCAATCCACCGTTTTCCGGCAGATAACCATGGCCTCAGACTTGAAGGTACTGACTCTCATCCCAACCTCTTGACACTCTGCTGCAACCCGCTCCAGTGTGTGCTGAAGGTCACGTTCTGAAGGAGCCAATATAAACCACATCACCTGCAAAAAGCAGAGATTGAATTCTGAGGTCTCCAAACCGGACACTCTCCTCCCCAGGCTGCGCCTTGAAATCCTGTCCATGAAACAGGATTGGTGACAATGGACCCTAGTGGAGGCCAACACAAACTGGAAACGTGCTTGATTTTGTGCCGAGTAACCGTACATAGCTCTCACTTTGGTTATACAAGGATCGTATGGCTCGTAGCAACAACCCAGGTACCCCATATTCCTGCAGTACCTTCTACAGCAGTGTTTTTCAACCTTTTCTGAGCCGCGGCACATTTTTTACATTAAAAAGATCCCGCGGCACACCAACAACCAAAAACGTTACAAAATGACACTTTTTAGCATAATACAGCATATATGTCAGGGGTGTCAAACTCAATCACAGAGAGGGTGAAAATAAGAAATTGGGACTACGTTGAGGGCCAAATAGAGTCACCATTTAATAAACAGGATAGAAGGGGTATTGGACAAAGTGCAAAAATAATACATGTTTAGGTAGGCTACATTATTGTATGCATACCAGAGCTAGATGTTTGGCATATTTTCTTGGCTGCTAGTTCATTCATATCTGGGGTTAGGTTCTGTGGAAACCCTTACGATGGAGTGAAGGTGCATCAGTGAGACGACTCCTGTGTGGGTTTGTGTTCATCTTTATCACAGAGAAAAGCTGCTCACACAAGTATGTGCTTCCAAACATGCAGAGCATTTGAGCAGCATGTAGGCGGAGTTAAGGCATCGTTTCGGGGGTAAAGCTTGGAAACTGTGAAGCGCCCTCAGAGTCATACTTTGTCTTCAGTGTCATTACACTGGAGGTCTATCAGCTCCACAGGTGCTCTTTCCACGTCAACTACAAACGGATTGCTGAGCAGTTCAAATTTAAATTTCTGAGCTGCAAAGTCGGCAAAATCGCCGGGTGAACTCTGTGCCAAGTGCGCCCAGTTTATCAGCAGAATGCGCAGTCGGGTACACAGCAGTGGAGACTTTTACTGCATCACACATGTCTGTGATCACACATGTCTGTGATCACACGTCCCCGTCCCTGAAGCTGGAGGTTTAGCGCAGTGAGATGCTTCGTTATGTTGCACATAAAGCCAGCTATCATCACCACTTTTTGTCCCGGAGGTCTGTGGTGTGGCGGGCCAGTTATGATAAACATATGATATTTTCTGGCGGGCCGTCGTACCGAGGGCCGGATATATGCAGACAATTTAATGACAAGTCTCTAAATGTGTTGATCCTTACTAGGCTTTTCAGCTGGGTTATTTTGCCCAGTTCAGAGTCTGCATTTTTCCTTTTCAAATATTTCTCCATGGCTGCTCGTCTCGTCCCACTCGTCATTTCATTCTACTGTCCTAAATTAACACGTCATTACTGCGCTACCTACTGCCACCCACTGGCATGGAAGAACATGTATTACTTAGCCAGCCACTATATTGCAGCTCAGACGCTCAACAATGGCAAAGTATTTGCAACAACTAAATAATAATTTTTTGGACTCATTAAGTGAAATTGGACATTTTCCCACGGCACACCTGACGATGGCACAGCGGTTGAAAATCACTGTTCTACAGGACTCCCCAAGTGACTCGGTCATAGGCCTTCTCCAAGTCCAAAAAACACATTTAGACTGGATGGTAAAACTCCCATGAACCCTCCAACTGAGGTTAAATGGTAAATGGACTTGTACTGGTATGGCGTTTCGCTAGTTTTCCGACCACTCAATGCGCTCAAACACTTAATGTCATCATTCACCCATTCATACACTAATGGCTGGGGCTACCATGCAAGGTGCCACCTGCCAATCAGGACTTTCTAATCATTCATACCCATTCATACACCGCAGGAACAGCCTGAGGGAGCTGCTTGGTTAAGAGTCTTGCCCAAGGATACATCAACATAGACTAGCAGAGCCGGGGATCGAACCGTGTCGTGTCGTTAATTCTGAAATCAAACTGAACAAACATACAAAGGGATTCTAGTTGTGTTTCCTCGCCCCCACCCCACTGTTGTTTAGGAACAAGATGGTACTACTTAAAGGAATAGCTCAGTGTAGTGTTGGCGTAGCAAGTTTGTGGTTGAGCGAGAGTGACAGTGGATCAGAGCAGATAGCTTTGAAATGAGCAGTTTGACCATGAATAAACACTGCAGCTCCTCAAGACCCAAGTCAAGTTCTTGTGTCTCTTGCTTCTCATATTTATCCCCCTACTGTGTCTCACATATAGCCCCTACCAGCCTGCGTCTGGTTAAGAGTAGTGAGTGAGAAGTCAGCAGTCAGGCAGGCACACCTATGCACGCACTCATTCCCACACGACTGATATCGTTATCTCCTGGCGGATATAAAAAGTCTCCTCCAATCACAAGCATGCATTCACCCACTGAAAATTTGCATTAATGGAGCTGGTCAATCAGGACCTGCTTAACCGAGTACGTGTGGACCCCACTACACCAGTACTGATCGGTGTAGGACCGACAGGGCCCCTTGGTAGAGGGCACTACCTGTACTTATAGAACTATATTACTGCTATATTGTAACCTTTTTTCTAACCATTGACCACCCATAGGTTTCTGAAGGTTTCTCCAACTGTCACCATCTTGTTAGTGACGACAAAGTCTAATCCAAAAATGGGCACGGTGTAGCATGGCTGCAGCTGAGGCAGCCCGAGTGAAGGCTGGTTGCTTAAACATGCCCACCTAGCTGGAAGCTACCAAGCTAACTAAGTTTAACAAGCTAATAAGAACCGTGGCAATATATTACTCTTTATTGCTAGCCGCCTAACGTTAACCGTGTGGTCTTGTTGATCTCGGCTGCCATTGCAATTTATTTGTCACATAAAATGCATTTGCCCTCTGAGGCAAATTTTTGATTTGTGATTTTGGGCTATACAAAATACATTGAACATTAAGATATTTAATAATCAACATCAACAGCACATACACGAGGCGAGGTTCAGTTACTTGAATTATCTGAGGTAAATGGTAAATAGACTTGTACATAGCTTCTAGTCTTCTGACCACTCAGAGCATGATGACACTACATGTCATCATTCACCCGCATTCATATACTGATGGCAGAGGTTACCATGCTACCACCTGCCCATCAGGACTCTTAACTGACAGCCTGCAGGAGCAATTTGGGTTTAGTGTCTTGCCCAAGGACACATCAACAGCACGGGTAATAAATAATAATAATAATGCATTCTATTTGTAATGCACTTTTCATTTAAAAAATCTCAGAATTGCCACAGAGCCAGTACATAGTAAAAAACATAGTAAAAAACATAGTTAAAATAACTAGTAAGCATAAAAAAAAAAAGTCAATGAACAGAAACACAAAAGAAATAACTGACAGTGATTTAGGTCAGAAACGCCTTCCTGAATAAAAAGGTTTTTAGGCCAGTTTTAAAAGAGACCAGTGTCTGTGTTGCCCTTAGGTGGTCAGGGAGACTGTTCCATAGGCGTGGAGCTGCCGAGCCAAAGGCCCGGTCGCCCATGGTGCGGAGCTTGGTGTTGGGGACCCGGAGGAGCGAGTTGTTTGATGATCTGAGGGTGCAGGTGGAGATTTGGGGAGTGATGAGTTCTTGTAGGTAGGGAGGTGCGTGTCCATTTATGCATTTATGTGTGAGTAGTAGGACTTTTTAGTCAATCTGGAATGAGACAGGGAGCCAGTGTAGTGAGTGCAGAATGGGTGTTATGTGCTCATACTTCCGGACTCTCATCAGGATCCTGGCAGCGCTGTTTTGAATGTATTGCAGCTTCTGGATGTTCTTGGCAGTGATCCCAGTGAAGAGTGAGTTACAGTAGTCCAGTCTTGAGGAGATAAAGGCGTGGACGAGCTTCTCTGCATCTGACAGGGTTAAAGTGGGGCGGAGTTTGGAGATATTTTTGAGATGATAAAACGAGGTTTTGCACAGGTGTTTTATATGGTCATTAAAGGTCAGGTAAGGGTCAAACCTAACTCCCAGATTAGTGACTGGAGGAGAGGGGGATTACCTGACCGTCGAAGGTGAGATGAGTTATGGAGGATGAATGAACCTGGTGTGGAGTGCCAACAAGGAGGGCTTCGGTTTTGCTACTGTTTAACTGGAGAAAGTTGTTGCTCATCCACGCCTTTATCTCCCCAAGACAGGCGGTGAGACATGACATTGGTAACCACCAATCGAAGGTGGTGACACCCAGCTGACAGCTAGCGGCTGTGACAGCACCCACATGTCTGTCAGCTCGGCTTAATTGTGCATAACTTAATGTAATTTTACTGGATGAGTTGTTTTTTTTTTGTATTCACCCAACGTGCAGTTGAATAGCATGAATGATATATTAGCTATAGAAACCAAAACTATTTTTTGTACCGGGCATGTTTTGTTCTGCTATAAATTTGGGCATTTTAACATGGGGGTCTATAAGGGTTGGCTCGTTTTTGGTGCCAGCCTCAAGTGGCCATTTGATGAACTGCAGTGGCTCCGCGTTGGCTTCTTTTTTCAGCCCGGAGGTTGCGGCTTGGTTCTAACTCTCAGAGGCTCCGCCCTCTACTAGACTCTGTGGATACAGTGGGTGGAGCCCGATGAATGCAAGCCCTTTCTCACCATAACATCGAGCCAAACCACGGTGATTCTCACTGGCTAAAGGTTAGTTACAGCCCACCTAATTCTTTATAGCTAATGCGTTCAACATAACAGGCTTAAACGCTCAAACTTGGCAAAGCATCTTACTACCCTGAACTAAGACAGGATTTGGTCAGAGAGTAGCTTCATTGCTATTACCAAGAACCAGCAAGCAACTGGGGTGCACCGACACACACTCTCTCACCTTCAGAGAGGAGCACTCCAGAGGCTCAAAGGGATCCTTCACCAAGGCCTTGAGCACCAATGGCAGTTCCCACAGGCAAGCATCATTGGCGAGTGTGTCTTGTGACCTGCTGCAAGAACCGCCTCTTGAGAGGGTAATTCAAGACCGGTCTGTCATAAAAAACCTTTGTGGCTGGAAGAAATTACTCTATCCAACAACACGTTTGATGTTCAAGAGTTCCTCCCTGGTGAATGGGACCAGGGAAGGAGAGCAGAAAACTGAACAAATAAACAAAAACAGAGAAAGTGCTTATGTTCATCATGGGGAGAAACCGTCACCTTTCAGCTAGAAGTCAACTCGAGCCACAGTCTAATTCTGTCGATTACAGAATTTACCCTTCAACAGTTGGATACTGAGACATTAATATTGTTCAGCTGTCTTCCATCTGGCATGCTTTTAAGTGACTGAACATACTTTCAAAGAAATCAACACCAATGAGGGATTGCATTTTGGCAATCCGGTAAGAGGTAATTGAAATGCATTTTTGTGCTTTTCTGCAATGAATAAAAAGTAACAAAGTAAGTATTACCAATATACCCCACACCCCTCCCTCTGTTGTTTGAAGCGTGGTCTTAATTTATCAGCCTCACAATGCCAGTGTCCCACTGATAAATGAGGGATGAACAACAATCTCACTGTTGCAAATTTCAGCTCCAAAGTAACACTCGAAATCCTGACTTATGATCTCTCCTATATGTGATTAGGAACTCACTTCTTTTACATCCCTCATGTAACATTTGTTTGTAGGTGACAAGGATTAAAGGGCTTTTGCTCACTTCACATTTCCTTCAAACACAGGCCGGCTCACAGCCCTTCAGAAGAGTGGGAGATAAACAAGCTGAGAGATGAAGAAGAGGAGCCTCCCGTTAATATTCAGAGCATGAGGGAAAGCCACCATCTTAGCCAAAACCAGAGTCCAAATTGCTCCTAAGCCTCTCTTGAACGGAACACAGGAGGAATTTTCTCGCAACACCAGACATGCCTCTAAAAACTATCTGATAGAAATCCACCACCCAAAAACTGTACAGATTAGTTTTTGTATACCACCAGATAGGAATTTCGCTCCTGGCAGCCGCACATATTGGTATATTGGCACTGCAGAAACATGAGCTGGATGGAATAAATATAGGAGGATTTTTTTTCATATCCTTAGTGTTGTAATATTTTAGAACAAAGAAAGGGGTCTGCAACCTTTTTGACCTTATCAGAACATGGGAAATGATTATATGGCATTTAGTAAAGGGATTACTTTGGGTAAAGTCTGGTATTTTTGCAATGAAGGTGTTTCACATATCGGGCATTAATTGCTTTTTCTTGTGATCACATAATTATATTATAAACTATCGTCACATAATTATTTAATCAAACTCTGCAGACATAAGCTGTTCAGATTTGTGGGTATGGACATTGTTGGGAAATCTCCACACAACAACTTTGTGAGAATGTGAGAAAAACATGACATTCACTCAGTTGCCAGTTATTGGGTACACTTTGCTAAAATGAATACAGTCCATTCAACACTCGTGCAATAACTCCTCCCCATCATTGGTATAAATAGTGTGGACAAAATAATAGAAACAACTGTCGGTGACCTTGAAACCAACCTACCCAAGATAGTTAGATTATATTATGTTACAAACTAGAGGTGTACAGAGACGTTGTTATATGTATCTGTTCAATTAACTAAATTATCTGTCTCTGTGTTCACATAGAAGACCGGAAGTGGGCGTGGTTTGTTCAGGAAATTACGTTAAATGGAGCAACTGTTGTAAAGTAATATTCATTGGCAATACCATTTTTGAGCTTCAAATTCAATATTGGCATATAGATATCCTCATACTGTACTTTTCATATCTCTCTCTCACTCTCTTATTTTTGCTTTAAAAAACAAACTAGTTTTATGAACTGTCTGAAGCCCACCATCCCTTTTTAACTGGGGGACATTGAACAACCAGACACTGAATTTTCCGTGAAACTGAAACTTACATTTCAACATTTTTTTCTGTTTTTCTGTGGTCAGTAGCAGCAACTTCACCAGATCAGGTAGGTTGGGCGCTTTATAGAGCAGATATGTAGCAGCAGTTTGCATGCATACAGACACTCCTTAGCCGCTGAGGCATTGCAGAATCACCTTTGCATGTCAGTCAGCAATGTTGCTGCATGACTTTCAGCTGGTCAGCACAAAGCAATGTAAAAATCTTGTGTATATGTGAATGTAAGTACCAGAAATAGATATAAATCCCTGACACTAAAATATCCAGACAGAAGTCTATGCAGAAGTGGCAGGCATTGTTTGCTCTCTGGCTTGCTCGCTGAGCTGTTCGTTTTTGCCCTGTATTCAAACTGCAGTCAGTTGTCATGCAATCTGAACGCTAATCTGCTTCATAGCACAACGCTTGTATTGCATGATAGATGCAGTGTGCAGAGCCGAAATGATAGACTGAATGCAATGCTTACAGTACTCTGTTGACCGTGTCCATTTGGTACTATTGTCTGTGTCTTGTCATTGAAGGAGCTGGTAGTTCCTATGGTTAGTAATAGGCCAGTAGTTGAACCTATCCAGCCCCAGCTATCTCCAGGTGTATCCACTGTCAGGATCGAGGCAGCCTACCCAGGTGTCTGCTTCACTACCCTCTAAACTTTGTGGTTGGCAGTTTAGGACATCTCAGACACAGCTTGTCAAGCTCAGCTTTCCCCAAGTTCAACGATAGTTATTTCACTTCCAGTTCTGTATTGGAATGCTAACATTAGCACACGTATAATTTCTGCAAAGAACGGAGAAAAATGCATGCTACGGTGTGTTAAAGTACAGCTAAGAATGACAAATGCAGCTCAGAAAGTACAAGTGAGTCAACTGCTGACAAGTTTAGTCTGATGTCCTAAAAGGCCACCTGTACTGTGATCTTTTTTTACACTGGCATTAGAAGTTATTAATTCTTTCATTTATTATGCCATTTGTTTATCTTCTTGTAGTGTTTAATCATTTCAAGCTACAATCATGTTTTCAGAACAGTGGCGCTTCTTCACTGATGGAGCTGCCAATTTTCTGGAGGTTTTGTGATGAGTTTGTAAAGCTGCACATGTTCCTTTCTAGTCCCCATTATTAGATAAAGTCAAATTGATATTTATATAATGATAGATTTATATAACTTATGGGATTGCATGCGTGTCTGCCATCCATCGCTAAACTGGTCCGACTGCCCCAAGGGAGATACATTTGACAATGCATGCAGCGAAGAGCAGAAGATGTGAATGCAACTTCTTCACAGGCCAAAACTGTCACGTTCTCTCAGGTTCAGCTAAGACTCAATCGCAGAAACAGACACAGGAGACAAGGTGAAGTGGAAGACTAGGTATCTTTGCTGGGGTCCAAGCCATCAAACACAGTAACTGAAAACAACTCCAACAGGGAGTGGGCAAAAATCCAAACTGAAAAAAAGGCAAAGTCACAAACCATGGAACGTAGAGAGACAACACGAGGGATAAACACTGGAGACACGATGAGCACACAGGGAGGAGCAAGGCCGGAACATGAAGCACACAGGGGGAAGAACAAAGACAATCTGACAACCAGAATAGGGAAAGCAGGGGAGTATATGTGTGGGGTGATGAGTAGATTGCAGGCAGGGGAGTTGAATGAGTGCAGTGTGGGGTTGGCAGAGGAAAAAGCTAGGGGGAGGTGATTGAACACAGGTGAAGTGAATGAAAGCAACCAGGAGACAATCAGACACAGACACAGGAGGAAGCCGGGAGGAGACCAGGGGCGGAGCCACACAGGAACACGGGGCAAAGCCTAAACCGTGACGAAAACTTAGTCAGGGCACCTAGAATTACTGAAAAGCACAGTAACAAACCCACAACAATCAATGTGAATGGCTGATTTATTTTCTTATTAGTGTGTAGTTTTATAATGATGTACAGTGACTACTATTGATTGGACATCTTATTAGGTTTACCTGCCTGCTACCAAACACAATCCCTGTTGGTCTCCAGAACAACATTTAGTTTCTGTAATTTATCAACTGTATGTTCATAATACCATTTTTTGTTGAACTTCAACAAGTGCTTTGGTAGGAGATTAAGATGTGAGAACTGATAAAATAACTGGACTAAACGTTTGTAGAACCATGCTGAAGTTGTGACATGAAAGGTTACCCTTCTTGAAGTATGTTCCTGGTCAGCAACAGTGCTAAGGTTTGCTGTGGGATTCAAATAAAGATCAGCTGTTATTAAAGGTCTATTTTGTGCAATAAACCCATTCTGTTAGTCCAGCACCATGGGCCTGCCTCTTGAACACAAACCAAGTTGAAACCTTGCATTTGTTATTGTTTATGCCAAATTCTAACTCTCAATTTACCATGTCTGACCAGAACTTTTGCCAGACCAAGTGATGCCTTTTTACTCTTTCACTGTTTTGGTGATAATCTGCCCACTGTAGCCTCACATTGCTCCTGAAAGCGGCTCGTAGTGGTAACGAGGTCTTCTACTCAGAGGTTCAACAAGCGTTGCCCTTTTGCACAGCACTTTTGTACTGTTATACCTGTCGTCTCCCTGTGAAGGAATCGTCATTCTCAGTCATTCCTACAGATGCACAATATGGGCGACTGTGTCTCAGTGGTAGAGCAGGGTCGTCCTTCAATCAAAGAATCGGCAGTTCGATTCCCGGCTCCATGTTGATGTGTTCTTGGGCAAGACACTTAACCCCAAATTGCTCCCGTAGCTGTGCCTACGGTTGGCTACGGTTTGTGAATGTTGTATGAATGTTAAATAGTCCTGTTGGGCATGTGGTACCTTACATGGTAGCCCTTGCCATCAGTGTATGAATGGGTGAATAATGACATGTAGTGTTAAAGAGCTTTGAGTGGTGGGAAGACTAGAAAAGTGCTAAGTACAGTCCATTTGACCATTTATATAGTTTCAGCATTGACAATGAGATGTGCGCATGAGCAAAAGTCAAATTGTGGGACGTGCGATGTTTGCTAACGCTACGACTTTTTTGCTGCTTGATACAAAAGGAATATTATAACACAATATACTGTATATCAGTTTTTTTCAATATGGTGCAGCCCTACTTTGACCTATGCTGTAATCGGTGCATTTTCATTCACAAAACTGCTGCTGATTGAATGAATTGCATTTTCATGTGTGTGGAGAAAATAAGGTGTGCAAACATTATTGGGAATATTTGATGACTGTACAGAAGAAACTACATCCCTTTTGATGCAGATTATGCTTATAATTGTACAATATTATATTATTATTGAGACTGCACCTTGGTCCATGAATTAAAAAATATATAATATTAAAAAGCAAAACTTTAACATGCGTATTACTGTGTATTTTCTTCATTCATTAGAAGTTGTTGAGAGGAACTCTCCTCCTACACCAGTGGAGATCCTCCCATCTAATGCAGGCCAGGACATCGCTCCCACCCAGTCAGCAGGTAAGACATTCTTTTCTCTGTCCTTTGTTTCGCCTCATCTGTTCTGGTATATTGTTGTCTGCCTTAAAAGTTCTATTTTAAGTTGATGAACAGGTGAAGAACAGCTGATAAATACATGGACATCATAGCTAGTTGGCTTTCTAACTTGTTAATTAGCAAGCTAAGATGCTTGATTGCTAACTAAACAATAAGTTATTGAAGACCGTGAAGGGTAATTCTTTTGTAATTAATTGATTTCACTCCTCCCTTTTGTTGTTTTAATGTAGTGTGTGCATGCCTTTAGAGTCTTGCTAAGGCAGCACACAAGGATAGTTACACAGACTGCAAGGATCTACAGTGTTTTTTGATGCAGTATTTGGGCCAAAGTGCTTAACTCAAGAGGGAACATTACCAGTTGATCTTTAAGGAAGTCTTAATGAAAAGCTAGAACAATAAGGCATATACAGAAGCTTGCACGGTATCAGTTATTCATTTTGGGGATAGTCTTCATGTTTTGTTGTTGAGACATCAACTTAAATGAATGGAAACAAGGCAACTGGTTGGCTGTGTTAAAATGACAGTTAAAAAATAACAATACATGAAACTAAAGATTCTCATTCATTGAACTGAAGTTTGCTGATCTTCTTCATGGCTCTTTATAGTATTTTGTGGGACCCATTACTAGTTCTAAAACTGCTGTTGTATTAATACTCTCCTCTTTCTTCTGGCCCAGAGGTAAATGAGTGCCAGATCAACCCTTATATTTGTGGCATGGGGATTTGTTACAACACAGCTGAGGGTTACACCTGCCACTGTGATGAGGGATACCGCCTGGATGACGCCCAAACCACCTGTATAGGTGAGGAATCCAGTCCAGTGCTCAAAGCCAGTCATTTTCCTTTTCATGTACATTCATTTAGTCATACATCTAAGGATAAACCCATGGACTATTGGGTTTATTACATTGGATTGAATGAACACCCATTTATTCATTTACATTTATAGTTACTGTGAGGAACTTTTAACTGGTTATAAAACAGTCTCCAAATAATACGGATGCCGCTATAACACTTACAGAAGTAAACAAGACCGTCACTGAGAAGATTTCTATAAAGTTATTCTTAATGCTTGTCATCAGTGCCAGTGAATTCCATACGAAATCAGACAAAATCATGCAGGTTCACCAAGAAACCTGATTACAGTACTGATATACCCCCCCCCCCCACCATGTATGAATGGCCCAAAAATAGTATATACTTTGTAACTGTTCCATTTTGTTGGACCTAGTAGCTCACATTGTGGTAATTCAAAGAGTCATTTCTTAATGTGTGCAACACAAAGTAAATGTTCCTAATTTTCATGACCTGCAATTTTAACTATATCAAATTCGGCACACAGCCTGGCTCTATTTCTAGTGGCTTTAATGAGCTTTCTTTCTGTTAGATTATTATCAAACCCCAGGGACTGTGAACATGACTCTGAGGTGTGGGGACCACAGTTACTTAAAAGACATGTCAATTTGTTGATGTTTGCATATGGGTGAAGTGAATCGGGCAGAGAAGGACAGTAGTGTGCATACTCTACGGCCCAAAACATGCTGAAGGAGTCCCAACTTTTTTGTGTATGCTCTCAGTGAGCAACTTTCATTAGAATGGCAGTGTGCCATTGTGGAAGGCAGTAGCCAGTTCACTCAAATTTGTTCAAGATTGTTATATCATCTTCTGGTGGGGGAACAGAGCAGATCTTGCCATCAACAAAACACTACCCTGGTTTATCTCTGTATGAAAAATTCTGTAATTTTGACACTTTCTTTGAATGTACATTTTATACAACAAAGTGACACATGTTGTTTGCTCTGGTTTGTGTGTCCAGATGTAGATGAGTGTTTGGAAAGCACATCTTTGTGCTTTGGCGGTCGCTGCGAGAACACAGAGGGCAGTTTTCTGTGTGTGTGTTCGCAGGGATTCCTTGTCAATGAGGAGCGAAACAGTTGTTTTGGTACGTACCCTCAACTCATGCTGCCAGAGCTCGTATCTTTCTCACACACATTCCTATTCATGCACAAACATACCTCAACACACATGCTGTATGTAACACGCACCCAACATTTGCAACAGAAACTGATGTAATTAGAACTTGGTTAAGTGTGCCCATACATCTCGCCCATCTAACAATGTTTTTTATGAAAGTGAGATGCCTTTTGCTTTTTTCCACTTTGCCCATCACCTGGGAAATGAAAACACGTGTTAAATCATCCAGTGTAAGTGATATAACTGGCCTTCAATAGGTAATAATCGAGACAAAAGCCTATAGCCTTGCCAATAGTGTCCCTACTGCCTCCATGTTCATTACACTCTACCAGGAAAACCGAAGATGGAGATCAGCTTTATGATCATTTTGCTATAGTCTGCGCTATATTAACCATGGGATCCTTAATAATTTTAATGAAATTGACAGTGAAAAAATGTATACATGAAGAAATTAAATTACATTTAAGAATTGTCCGATTCTGGCCCATCTGTGCTGTCAACCCTGAAACATACCGTCATCGTGGATGAGTGCGAAGCAACAGGGATAGGACCCAAATGCAGAAGATGCAGACAGACTGGTACCATTCAATGATATCTACTACAGTGAAAGTATGTTTATTGGCAGGTGCAAGTAAGGAGGCAGTTACAGATAGAAGTAAAGGTAGGCAGACAGGCATGTTCAGGTATAGGTACGGGGTCAGAATCATGGCACGGTTCAGGTTCTGGTGACTTGAAAGCAAAGCTACAAAGCACATGGCAAGGGGAACCAAAGAGATGGGTGGCCTAGGGACTCGACAGCAAAGGAGCAGGAAACCTCAGACAGCCGGCCTGGAAACTGGACAGGGCGGAGCAGGAGACCTCAGGTGGCAAGCCCAGCAGAGCCATTGGGCTGGGCAGGTTGGTAGGACGACAAGAAAGTGGGGCGCAGGGCGTAACTGGTGGTCAGGAGGCTGGAGTTCAGGAAAGGTGTAGTTCCTAGCAGGGTGCTGGGCAGGAGGCTGGCAACAGGAATGCAGAGCATCTAGGACAGGTGTCGCCAATAGGCGGACCGCGGTCCGGATCCTGACTCAGACGCCGTTGTATCCGGACCCAGGACCTAAAACCGATAGATAATTGAGAATTATTCAATTTTGACGGAGCGCCTCTATTTTAACCGGCGCAGCTTTTTCAGCCTTTACGGTACTTGTTCAGCGGTGCAAATCACATCACGTGATGCAGTTCGGCCAATCAAATCTGGGTATTCTGACAAGTTTCCTGAATCGAGTGAGATACACACACGGGAGAGACAAGGAGAGAGGACGAAGAGTAGGAGAATAATTACGTGAGTCAGAGAAGTTATTTCACATGACGAGAGAAAAGTGGTCAGAGAGACCAGAGTCTTTAACCAAGAATGAACAGACTCTTTCAGGTTAATTCTTCCCACGGACAGTTTAAAACCAGTGTGTCTCAGATGTTCAGAGACCATGACGATTCTTAAAAGCGGTAATGTGAAGAATCACTACGAGACAAAGCACAACTCTTTTGAGCAACGTTCCCTCTCACATCTGAAATGAAGACAAAAAATAAACCTAAGAGCCCAATATGATCAGAATCCTAACGCATTCATTCACTGACCAACAGTGATGTGAACAGACAGAATATAACTGAAACAAGTGTTAATAACCACAGATAAAGATCATGCACACTAATTTCTCTTTTTAGAAGATGAGAAAAATATAATATCGTAGCTTTTTTAATTGACATCACTTCACACCTGAATGAAGTGAATTTTAAACTGCAGGGCAAATCGGTGAAATTCATTTTTTCTAAAATGAATTACTTTATTTTAAGATGCACATTCTTCAAAAGCTTTCTGTTATGTCAGTTATTCTTTAATCCAGCCCTTATTTTACTTGAAATGAGAAGAACATGTATTTATGTATTTCTATGTATTATTTATAATCCATCCAGTTAAATTTGAAAACTGAGAATAATTGTTAAAATATAATTGATGTGTACTTTCTTCATTTGATTTGACAGTTGTTGACTACACAGAGACGTTACTACTACTAGGCTATTTCAATATATACAGTATATATACATGCATATATACATATATATATATACACACAAACATATATATATGTGTGTGTGTGTGTGTGTGTGTGTGTGTGTGTGTGTACATGTGTGTGTATATATGTGTATATATACAGTTGTGTGAAAAAGTGTTTGCCCCCTTCCTGATTTCTTATTTTTTTGCATGTTTGTCACACTTAAATGTTTCAGATCATCAAACAAATTTAAATATTAGACAAAGATAACACAAGTAAACACAAAATGCAGTTTTTCAATGAAGGTTTTTATTATTAAGGGGGAAAAAAATCCAAACCTACATGGCCCTGTGTGAAAAAGTGATTGCCCCCCCCCTGTTAAAACATAAATTAACTGTGGTTTATCACATCTTTGGAAAGCTGAGTTCAATTTCTTTAGCCACACCCAGGCCTGATTACTGCCACACCTGTTCTCAATCAAGAAATCACTTAAATAGGACCTGCCTGACAAAGTGAGGTAGACCAAAAGATCCTCAAAAGCTAGACATCATGCTGCGATCCAAAGAAATTCAGGAACAAATGAGAAACAAAGTAATTGAGATCTATCAGTCTGGAAAAGGTTACAAAGCCATTTCTAAAGCTTTGGGACTCCAGCAAACCACAGTGAGAGCCATTATCCACAAATGGCGAAAACATGGAACAGTGGTGAACCTTCCCAGGAGTGGCCGGCCGACCAAAATTACCCCAAGAGCGCAGCGACGACTCATCCAAGAGGTCACAAAAGACCCCAGAACAACATCCAAAGAACTGCAGGCCTCACTTGCCTCAATTAAGGTCAGTGTTCATGACTCCACCATAAGAGAGAGACTGGGCAAAAATGGCCTGCATGGCAGAGTTCCAAGACGAAAACCACTGCTGAGCAAAAAGAACATAAAGGCTCGTCTCAGTTTTGCCAGAAAACATCTTGATGATCCCCAAGACTTTTGGGAAAATACTCTGTGGACTAACGAGACAAAAGTTGGAACTTTTTGGAAGGTGTATGTCCCATTACATCTGGCGTAAAAGTAACACGGCATTTCAGAAAAGGAACATCATACCAACAGTAAAATATGGTGGTGGTAGTGTGATGGTCTGGGGCTGTTTTGCTGCTTCAGGACCTGGAAGACTTGCTGTGGTAAATGGAACCATGAATTCTGCTGTCTACCAACAAATCCTGAAGGAGAATGTCCGGCCATTTGTTCGTGACCTCAAGCTGAAGCGCACTTGGGTTCTGCAGCAGGACAATGATCCAAAACACACCAGCAAGTCCACCTCTGAATGGCTTAAGAAAAACAAAATGAAGACTTTGGAGTGGCCTAGTCAAAGTCCCGACCTGAATCCGATTGAGATGCTGTGGCATGACCTTAAAAAGGCGGTTCATGCTCGAAAACCCTCCAATGTGGCTGAATTACAACAATTCTGCAAAGATGAGTGGGCCAAAATTCCTCTGCAGCGCTGTAAAAGACTCATTGTCAGTTATCGCAAATGCTTGATTGCAGTTGTTGCTGCTAAGGGTGGCCCAACCAGTTATTAGGTTTAGGGGGAAATCTCTTTTTCACACAGGGCCATGTAGGTTTGGATTTTTTTTTTTCCCTTAATAATAAAAACCTTCATTTAAAAACTGCATTTTGTGTTTACTTGTGTTATCTTTGTCTAATATTTAAATTTGTTTGATGATCTGAAACATTTAAGTGTGACAAACATGCAAAAAAATAAGAAATCAGGAAGGGGGCAAACACTTTTTCACACAACTGTATATATATGTGTGTGTGTGTGTATATATATATGTGTGTGTGTGTGTGTGTATGTATATATGTGTGTGTATGTATATATGTGTGTGTATGTGTATATGTGTGTATATGTATATGTATGTGTATATGTATATGTATGTGTATATATGTGTATATGTATATGT